TCTGGTTCTTTTGCCTCTTTATATAAATTTTAGAATCAGTTTGTTGGTATCCACGGGGAAACTTGCTGCAATTTTGATGGGGATCGCAATCTATAGATCAACTTGGGAACAACTGACATCTGACAACATAGAGTCTCCCTATCTCCATAAATATAGAATTTCTATTTATTTAGTCCCTCTTTGATTTTTTTCATCATAGTTTTATATTTTCCTTGTATAGCTCTTATACATATTTTGTTAGATTTCTACCTAAATATTTCATTTTGGGGTTGCTAATGTAAATGATGTTGTGTTTTTAATTCCCAATTCCACATTTTCATTGATGGTACAGGAAGGCTATTGACTTTGTATATTAACAGTGCACCCTCCAAACTTGCTGCGATCACTTGTTGGTTCCAACAGTTTTTCCCCCCCAGATTTTATACATAGACAATCATATCACCTGCAAGCAAAGACAGTTTTATTGTTTCCTTCCCAATCTGTACTTTTTATTTCCTTTCCTTGTCTTATTGCATTAGAGAGGACTTTCAGTGCAATGTTAAAAGGGATGGTGAAAAGGAACATCCTTGCCTTGTTCCTGATCTGGGGAAGCTTCCAGTTTCTCATCATTAAGTATGATGCTAGATATAGATTTTTTGTAGATGTTCTTTATGGAGTTGAGGAAGTTCTCTCTGTTCCTAGTTTGCTGGCAGTTTTCATCATGCATAGGTGTTGGATTTTGTCAAATGCTTTTTCTACATACATTGATGTCGTCATGTGACTTTTCTTCTTTAGTTTGTTGATGTGATGGGTTATATTGATTCATTTTTGAATGCTGAACTAGCCTTGCAAACCTGGGATAAATCCCACTTGGGCATTGCATATAATTATTTTATGCATTGTTGATCTGCTAATATTTTGTTGAGGATTTTTGCATCCATGGTCTGTAGTTTCCTTTTCTTGTAATGTCTTTTGTCTGGTTTTGTATTAGAGAAATGCTGGCCTCATAGAATGAGTTCAGAAGTAAACAGCTCCTTTGTGGGGATGCTCTGAACACTGGAGCAGACATGAACATATGATTTTCAGATGAAGCACTTACTGGGTATTGGGAATGGTCCCTGCCCTTGCCCTCTGACCTGCTTCCATCATCCTCTTTTCTAATCTTCACTCTCCAGAGGAATGTCTCAATGCTGTTGTCCCACATTCAGAACCAAACCACCCTTTGGAGCATCACTTCCACTGGAAAATGCAGCCCAAGGCCCAAGTTGCTGCATCCCAGGGACCTCAGGCTGTGCTTTCTCTGCTTGTCCTCACCTCCACTGTGGAGGAGCCCAGTCGATGGCTACTCACCCTTTTCCAGGGCATCTGCCCCAGAGCCTCTGGACAAGGGCTGGCCTCATTAACCTCCCAGCACGAGCTGCATGTGCCAGGTGTGGAAACAGAGGGAGCGCTGAGGCGGTGGGGCAGTTTCAGTGTGCAAAAGAGGAGACCCCAAGGGCAGCAGCCTCAAGCTATCTGTGCACACCCTGAAACATCCAGCAGGCCCACAACCTCCTTCACGTCACATGCGAGCACACAATGGACATGAACCCTGTACTCATGTAGGAAACATGACCCTGCCTAACCCTCTGTCCTGCTTGAGCGGAAGGGATACTCCCGTCCCCAGTATGAGAGGAAGGGGCAGAGGTGGGGATAAGAGATGGTGAATAAAATGCAAAGAGCCCTGAGGAGCAGGTGCTGCTTCAGACCCGGTGGGAGAACATGCTGGAGGGTCTTGTGGCGCTAGTACCCCAGGGCAGCAGCCACGTGTGATGGGATGGCAGCCACAGCTTCAGGATGTGTGTCCACATCTGCAGGAGCCCTGGATATGCAGTCAGGGCCTCAGGGCACAGCCCTGACCCAGTCCTTCTCCCAGGTCCCTGCCCTCTAGCCTATGTCTCCCTGCCCAGGCTCAATGGCCTTCACTCTGGACAATACAGATGGTCCCTGTGTGGCTCTCCCAGCGGCGAGTAGCTCCTGGTGTCTGCGAGTAGATGCCCTCCCTTCTCCACCTCACAGGTCTACTTCTCGCTAAGGAAGCTGAGGGAAGGATGAGACCAAATGGCCCTCTGGGAAGCAGGACCACCCTTGCCTTCAGAAGAGCTGGAGGACCAGCCCTGTGGCTTTTCACTTTCAAAATGAATCAGGGAAAATTGCCTCCTCGACAAGCCCACTGCTATTCCAAGTTTCCAGAAGGGTGCCAAAAGCTGGAAATATCATGTGGATGTGGAGATCAGTTGCAAATGTGAAAACTAACTACAATTTGGGTGTCTTTCAACTTTTACTAAAACCCACAGCTAATAATTAAACTGGCAGCAGTGACATGGGCAGGGGCTCCTCCCAGGTGAGGCTGGTGGGGCCTCAGAGGGGCCTCCTTGCAATGGGGTCTTACTCCAGGGCTAATGCCTCAACCAGTACAGCTGCCTCCAAGAGGGCATTTCATCCAACCCCAAACCAAACCAAATCCCCACCCCGACTGCATACAGTTGAGTTTTTTGTGGTGTTTGAAAATATCTCAAGGACTGATGGATTTTTGTTTTTTCTGCTCTCCTAAAATTTCTGTGTGTGCTAATTCGGTGCATCCAGGGAAAATCACTTGTGAAAACCAGCATGGGTCGTTCCCCATTTTGTTCCCCTCCCCACTGTGCCCCTCTTCCAAGCTCTGCCTTGAAAAGGAATAGGACCAAATGTCTGTGAAGCTCTGGACAGCTGAGCACAGGAAACGAGGTGGTGAAGGTCTCCCAGCCACAACCCTGGCCTGGCTGTGGCATTGGCAGGAGTGTCATGCTGAGGGTTCAGGCCACTCTTGAGTCTGAGGCCAAAAAGGGCAGTGAGTCACCTTCCAGGACAGACAACACTGAACTGAGGTTGTAGCTAGTGAGCGGTCACACCCACTGGGCAGGTAAGCAGGCACGGCAGCCACAAGAAAGCCCTGTCACCTGCTCTTCTATGGCCTGCATGCTAAGGACCTATTTGAATTTTCACTGGGTGAGAGAAGAAAATCAAAACAGGAATAACATTTTGTGACACATGGAATTCTGATTTCACAGGTAGTTTTATTGGAACACAGCACACCCATTGCTCACAAGTCCAGGCTGCCTTCATGCAAACAGCAGACCTGAGATGTTGTGACAGACACCATATGGCTCGAGAGATGAAGTAATTACTACCTGTACTTTTATAGAAAGTCTGCTGACCCCTGCCCTAAGCAAACAAAAGAATCAGCCCTTTTTGGTGAAATGTCAGAGCTGTTTCATTTAGGCTCAATGTGGATTTCACAGCTGCATTCGATGAGGGACTTGCACTGTGTCCACCTTCATATAGAGCAGGGGTGGGGAACACTGGGCTCATGGGCCAAAATCATTTGGTCTGGCCCTGCCACGGCAACCACAGGCAGGACTCGAAACTCAATAAATCTAGCTTTTTTCATAGCTAATTTTTAAGTTGATAATTTTGTATGGTCCGTGAATGATGTTATAAATATCCAAATGGCAACTGACAGAAAAAAGATCCCCCACCCCTGATACAGAGAGTAACTCAACTCACAACATTCAGTTTTAGGAACTGCAAACACCTTACAGGGTGACGACAAACTGACAATACATTCACATGACTGGCAGGATAAAGGGCCGACAGATTTTGGTGCAGGAATAATGAATGTGGAGAGCCCAACCCCACACGCAGGCCCAACATCAGTGTCAGAGGATAAGCTCCAACTCAGGAAAGGGAGAGCAAGACAAGAGACACCATGCCCTTATTCAAAGAGCCACTCACGACATGACAATGAGCTCATGTCAGCCCTCATGCCAGTCTCCAGAGGGTCTAATGACCGGGTGTGATCTGCTTGGTGGAGCCATCAGGGCACATGCTATCTGGATGCACGAGATCACCCTGCCTGCACAACTCCTTTCTCTGGTCCAGCATCTGAGCATCATAAGGCCCACTCTCCTCGTGTCTTTCCCCAGGGTGAAAATGTAAGGCAAAGACAGCGGACCGGGTAAGGTGGGAACCATGAGAGATGAAGACAGAGAACTGGCAGTTGGAGCAGTGGAGGGTAAAATTAGATCACTTTGGGTGTGTTAGTCTAAGGAACTGGAGTTTATGCTCCTACGTGGTGGGGTCAAGAAAGATAAAGAGTTTGTGTATCTGATGTGGAGGGGCCAGGAAAAAGTGGAGTTAGTGCCCCTGGGGTGGGAAGCAGTGGGAGGCAAAGGTGAGCACCTGGATGGGGAGCAGTGGGAGGCAAAGGTGAGCACCTGGGTGGGGAGCAGGGGCTGAGGGAGTTAGTTCTTGGTGTCAGGGTTTTTGCAACTTTTGCCTCAGCTTGGTGATTGCTAGATGGGTTAAACAGGCTGGTTTCTGTGTTTTGGGCTTGAGTCATCAACTCAGGCTGGCAGATGAATTTTCTGCTAATGAAAGCTTCTAAGGTGCCTCAGGAGGGAGAGCAGCCCTGTGATACCGTGACCTTGGACTTCTGGCCTCCAGACCTGGAGAGCACTCCTGCTATATCGTCTACTCTATGTGGCACTTCATTAGGTTAGCCCAGAAATCTAGTGCTGCACAGTGCAGTCACCCTGAACTCACCCAGACTCAGCTACAGCGGCAGCACATGCCCTTGCGGGCGCCATCTCAGGAAATGCAGACACTCTTCAAGGTCTAAGGAGCCTCTCCATGTACAGCCCACCAGAATGCTATTTCAAACTGGTCTGGGAAATGCACACTTCACTTTCCCCTCATTGCCCCAAAGGGCCCTCTCATGGACTCCAAACCAAGCAAAAAGCAGCATCAATATGTATCTTCAAAAAATATTTTAACACTAGCATTTCTCTCGTTTCTGCATAAAAATGGGCAGTAAAAGCAAAAATCAACACCTTTTATTTTTTAATATGTTTTTATTGATTTCAGAGAGAGGAAAGGGAAAGAGACAGAAACATCAATGATAAAAACCATTGATGGGCTGCCTCCTGCATGCCCTCTACTGGGGATCGAGCCCACAACCCAGGCATGTGCCCTGACCGGGAATCAAACTATGACCTCCAGGTTCATGGGTCAACATTCAAGCACTGAGCAAAACCGTCTGGGCAAAATATCAACACCTTTAAAACAGTACGCACTATTTTCACATTTGGGTAAAAACTAGGCAGCGAAATAGTATTTCAGGTGTTTATATGATGACCTCAAGGTATGCTAGACTCTTAGCTTCAATTAGAAAATTATAATACAACCAAAAATAAGCCAGCCTGTTCACCAGAGAGATGGAACAAGTAAGGCTGTGGGTTGCTTAGCGGCCCAAGGAGGGGAGCAGGTGCAGGCGCAGTACTTAGACCCACAGAGTTAGAAAAAAGCAGATTTCATTCGCAGAGGCTTAAACCCTCCTTTTATACCCAACAAGGGAGGAGAAAGAATGGCAATGCAGCTACTGGTGATGCTGGAGACCTGGGATAAAGCCACGCAAAGTGGTCCCTGGGTGCTGGGTTCAGCCCATCCTCTGAATGAAGAGCCACCATGCAGCTGTGCAGGGCTTGCGACGGCTCAGCCCCGTGTTTGAGTGCGTGGGTGCTCTCAATGCACCAGCAGCTCGAGAGCGCCTTGGCGCGATGCCATTCGCCGTGTCTGTAGGCAGAACTCCTTTCTTGCAGCTGCACCTTCAGAGCCCCGCAGAGGACCCTTAGGTGGCTGCCCGTGGCCTTCACAGTAGCCTTTGGTCCTGAGGCAGGTATGCCTCTGAGGCAGGGCCGGCAAGTTTCTCTCTGGTCCCAAGAATGACTTCCTGTGGTTTTCCTATGAAGGCAGCATGCAGGGGTTGAAGAGAACATACCGAGAGACATGATTCTTATCAAAAGCTCTCACCTCTACACTCCTCTGTCCTTTTAGGTCAGTTTTTTCACTCGTCGATTATGCTTGTCAATAGTTAAGGTTGTCCTGTCCACGGCAGTGGCGATGACATCCAAGACCTCATCCTGTCTTTCCAGCTCTGCCTCGGCATCCAGGGCAAGACCCTTCAGCTTCCCCAAGATCTGGCGAGAAGCACAAAGACAGGGGTGACTTTCCTTAAACTCTCAAAAATAGCCAATACTTCCATCATTTTTATAATGCTTAAGGAATTTTGTGAGTCAGTGGGGATAATGTGCCCCCTGTCCCCATGGTGGAGCCCAGAGCCAGAGCTTGGGTTTGGGTCTCAGCTCAGCTCTGCCACTGACTAGAGAGCTGTTGGAAGATGATGCATTTGCCCCTGGCCTTGCTCCAGGCCACGGGCAACAGTCTGACCTCAAGTCTCTGGGGTGCTGCTATTCCAACCCATGGTATGCTGTGTCACCAATGCCTTACCACATCCATGAGGAATTCCAGCCACAGCAGTGGGCACAGGAGAACCAGAGATCTGGGGCCAACAACTAGGATCTGAGTTCCAGCTCTTGCCCAATCATTGCGTTCATTACCTATCTGCACCCAAGTACCCAACTGCACACTGAAGCTCAAAAAACAGTATTTAAAAAGTAAAATCCTTTTCTTGTCTGTATATTTGAAATATTTCACATACAAATACAAAAGGCAGAACAGAACATAGCACGAGTAACTCAACTCACACAGCCCTCCCCCCACTTCCCCATGCCCTGGGGCCTGAGAAACTGAGAAACAAGTGAACTAACCAGGGAGTTTGGGCCTGGGGGCTCCAGGAGATAGAGAAGGGACCAGGGTGAAGACAGGGATAGTACAGAAATGCCACAAACCACAGTGATGCCACAGGGAAGGCTGGTGGGCGCCCACAGGGTGGAAGTTGCTACAGGTCGGCAGAGTGGGAGAAGTGGATCAGGCTGGACTGAAGGCCCTCCCCCACTTGTGACTCATGTCATCCTTCATACAGTTTCATAAACCAGTAAGAGTGGCCGTTTTATGACAAGTCTACTGAGACAAACTGCACTATGAAATGTACTTTAACTACATTCTTACAGAGCCTGGTTGAAAAATTTAATATTCTCAAGCTGACAAAAGGAGTGGTTTTAAGAGAAATTCTAATGACCAACTATTTGCTATAAATGTTAATGCCTCTTTTGGGGAAACTTTTGATCACTGGTTAGATCAAGAAGGAGGAACACAGAATATCAACATGAAGGGCGGTAAAGCCTTGTTTGTTCCATGGGGTCAACCACCTTGTCACATAGGGATAGATGTCAGCATTGAACAGCCTGGAAGACCACCCCAGAAGACTTCAAGTCCAATATGTTGATACAAGTAGTGCCCCACAATGATACCAGTCCCAGGTCCCACCAGATGGTCTGGGACAATACTACCCCTGGGAGAGCAGAATGAACGGCACCATGTAGTGTCAGGAGGCGGGGATGGTACCTGTGCCATCACATGGCAGCTCTGCACTTAGAATGACAAGAAGCCTGGTGCTGGCTCAGTGGTTGAGCATCAATCCATGGACCAGGAGATCATGGTTTGGTTTCTGGGTTGCCCGGGTTCGATCCCCAGTGGAGGGCATGGGGGGGAGGCAGCTGATTGATGATTCTCTCTCATCACTGATGTTTCTATCTCTCTCTCACTCTCCCTTCCTCTCTCTGAAAAATCAATAAAAACATATTAAAAAAAAAACACCATAAGAAATGCCCAACCACTATGGTCACCACCCACTGCCTGGGGGGGCTGCGTCGTCTGATTAACAAGAAACAAAATCAAGGCAGGATGATGGCCAGGAGGATAAGATCAGCTCTTTCCCCAGGAATGATGAGGCTCCAATGAGGTTAAAATGTGAAAACTGTGACATGTATGTGTGGTAATTCAGCCAAGTCTCAGCATGCCTGGACTACAGGAGCCCAGTGCCGCCTCCATCTATGGAAGGGACAGGGATGAGCAGAGCTGAGGTCATCCACATGCAGTCACGTGCAGGTTGGTGGCAGAGGCAGGACTACCCCACATCTCTCTCCAAATACACCATCACTGGATCTTCATAATGAGACACGAGCAAATCATAACCCAGGTCATCAGGCTCAGGCACCACCTTTCTGCACCCTCTGGGAGGTGGTGGAAACTCCATCAGTTGAATCACTCGAAAAACTGGATGGTGCTCTGGAAAGTACACCAAAGGGTCAGCCTGCTCTGGAGGGGCTGGGCTGAATGACCTAATACAGGAGGTCTTTTCCATCTCTCATTTGAATGATCTCACAGGGCTGAGGCCCAAACAGTGTACTAAAAAAATCAGCGCTCACCACCATGTCACACAGGTCCTTCCATGCCACTTTCTCTGGTCAACTATTCCCTCCTAATTTACCTCCATATTTAGTGTGATAATAAGGCTGCTCTACCAGAAATTTGCACAAAATGTCCCCTGGAGGACTAGCCTCTGCCACACATGTGCACCTGATCTGGCACCCCCGAAGTCTGTCTCTGTGTTGAGTGATCAGGCTGCACAGTCCCCTGCAGCTCTCTCTGCACCCCCTATGTCGTTGTCAAAGTGTGGTCAAGTTCATTTCCAGTTAAATTGTTCTTCAGGCCCCAGACTGTAAAGTTACCCTTGTGCTGTGCTGAGGGGGGAGACGGCTCTGTGCAGGAAGCCACTGTTCCCTTCAGTGCAGATGAGAATACAGAACTTGAAGAGTCCACCGAAATCCATATCCAGACCAGGGCCTGTCACACAAGCACTGTCAGTGATTGCGGTGTCACCTTCCCTCTACTTCCTCTCACCCCAACATCCACTCTCGCAGAAAAATAAAGTTGTCCTTGGAGAGTACATAGAATTGCTTCCTGTTTCTCATCCCCTAGTCATCCTAAATGACGCCGAGTTATGAGGTCCCTGAGATATGCCCTAACCGTCCTTTCTCTGTTAATCCTCAAAGTCACTCAGCTTCACAAACTAGGCTGAGGGTGCCGGGTGACTTGTCTGTTTCCTAAGCTCTCGGGGTGCATCTTCCAGTGTGGCCCTGACATGACTGTTGCACAGATAACAGATGCCACGGTGCAATAACTCAGAGGTAACATCACCAGGACACTGAGAGAAATCGAAAATATCCTGTAAGAAAATGGCAAAAGGGCTACCACCAGGATCGGCAAGCCACTGACACACCAAGGGAGGACTGTCAGCTTGTAGAGCCCTTAGCAACTGTGGCAAGATGTCCAGTGTAAGGAGAGCCACACCTGTAATTTTAAATTTCCTAATATAGTCAAACCTTGGTTCTTGAACATCTCTCAAACAATTCAGTTCTCAACCAAGTTGTTCAAGGAAAATAATATCTTGGTTGTCAAACAAAACTTCAGTTCTCAACCTGACAACCCTTTCAAGCTGTATCATCAGTCACACATCTCTCAGGTGACAAAGGAAAATGTGTGAGTATGAGTCAGTTTACCACTAAACCTTGCATTGTTAACATCTCAGGAAATTGTGCTGTGAATATTTTCTAATGGGAAAAAATGATTCAGTTTTTAGTTTTCGAAGAGAGAGCGTCTTGAAGAGCCTTCTGGACCAAATTAAGTTCGAGAACCAAGGTTCCACTATACTCACATTTTAAAAAGTAAAAAATAAGTGTAATTAATTTTAATAATATATTTTATTTAACCCAAACAACTCCAAATAGTGTCATTTCAACATGAAATCAATACAATTATTGAGATATGTTATATTCTTTTTTATATGAAGTCCTAGTAAGCTGGTGTGAATGTTTATATATATACATATATGTGTGTGTGTGTGTATATATATATATGTATATAGTATATAGCACATCTCAACTTGGACTGGCAATTTTTCAAGTGCTCAGTAGCCACACGTGGCTAGTGGCTATTGTGCCACATAGCATAGGGTCCACACTACCATACAACAGCCCCTGTGTGTCCTACATATCCCTCGGCTGGCCACCTTCTTCAGGAGGATGAATCGACTGCCTCTTTCCCAGTTCACATTTAGACAGTGGCAAAAGCAAGAATACCTACATCCTCAAGTCTGTGTTTAATCAGCACAGTAATAATAGGCACATACCACTTATTTTGTGAGCAAAAACAGCTGACATGCCTACAGAAGTCAAGCATTTTACTGAGTCTGTAGTACAAACAAGGGCTGGCTCCTGCCGAATTTTTTTATTTGGAAAAAGTCTCCAAGAGGATGGCCTTAACTATAGCACTCATTTTATGCAGCCTGTTGAGACCCTTAGATGCTCTGCCAAAAATGTACTTGAAATTAATTCTTCAAAAATACAAGAGAGCTTTACAGCTACTAAGTGTACAAAGACAATTCCTGAGTAAACCTCCAAACTACTGGTACCTCAGAATACTGGTACTGCGTCTTTTTCCTTTAAGACAGGGATTGAAGTAATTAAATGGCATTGAGTGCATTCCATATAACATGGGATGGAAAGAATGGAGACTAGGAAGACTGGCCAAACCTTAAACACAGTTGTTACTTCTGTGGCCCAGGATGACAAGCTGTCTAGTCATCGACATAGGACGCTGCCAGCCTCTGAAATATCAGCTGGCCTCTCAGATGGGCCTTCACTGGGCTCTGAGTCAATAACCAGGCTCAAAGTGGGCTCTTCTCTGCGTTCATATGACACTGATAAATAAACCCACGAGCCTTCTTTCCAGCCATAATCATACCTACGTAGAACTACCTGATTTAAAGAGCACTGAGTTTTACAAGAAAATAACTTTATAAACTCCAAAGAAATATACAGTGCACTTAGCACAGGCAAGACACAAAAGCACCTGTGCCAGTGCTGCCCAGCATAGGGTCATGAAGAAACAGGAGCACTTAGTGCTCCTTAGCTAGAGGGTCGCAGGTGCCCCACAAAGCCAGTGCAGGAGGCTGGGTCCCAAAGGCAGATGCACAGGGCCAGCTCACCAGTGTCAGTGACTGGGGATAGGGCAGCCGAGAAGACTCAGGCAGGAAGTGGGAGACACCATGTGACCCCCAGGACAGAGCAGACATTACTGTCCTCTCTGGAAGGGGAAGAACCTCTACTTGGGTCACATACTATGGTGCCTCCATCCCCCAACACCACAGATCTCAGGACTGCAGCACAGGCACTGT